CCATGCGTGTGGATTTAGGCTTGGCGTGATGGCAGTTGGTGTTCTGTTTCGTCCCCACTGTAGAGGATGCTGGTATTTCTGCTCCCTCTTCCGGTGACTTCGTTACAGTGCCGTCTTTGTCTGCTAGTGTTGACTTCGGTTTGACCGTATCCTGTCCTTTACTTACGTAATGGCGTAGAACAATGTGGGCTGCAGGGAGGTCCAGATGCCTGTTGACAGAGTTTGCGACTGAGTACCATGCCTCAAGCGTCAATCTTTCAACTTTTGAGGCTGCTCGGCCTACGATGGTCGTTCCTTGAATATCGAAGTCGTGGCCAGTCTCTCCGACATATGTTGCAAGCTGTGAGTTAGGGTCTAGTATCCGAACAGGCGCTTTGTGTTCCTGTAGGTGGGTCTGCAGTTTGCGCCCTGTTTCTCCAACATAATTACAGTTTCCATCGTTGCAACGTATTTTGTAGACAACTGCAGAGGTTTCAGTAGGGGGCCGTCTGTCTTTAGGTTGCATCGCTTGGCGGCGTACTGACACCTGAATTTGACGGGGTATGCCTACAATAGTGGGTTGTAATAGTCGAGACATTTTTGTGAGATTAAATAATCGTGAAACATGAGAGACTACAACAATTTCCAAAAAACTAAATCATAAATGGGGTTTCAAATGTCCATAAATGGCTTATCACATTTTAAAATTTAAAAAATCTTCGATACTGTCAATAGGTGTGTTTTCAGGGATAGACTAGTTGCTAAGGTTTTAAAATAATAGGACAGAACATGACAGTAGTTGCTTAAGCCGTGGGGTCTTGGGCCCTTATGCCCTGCATATTAAAATTAGCGTGATATTTGTGGTTCCATATCAGCATGTCAAAAAATTGAGATTCAAAGCGAAAGCATATAATGAGTTGAATAACATAAAACTTACATCTAGCAATTGACGTCCTTAACACAAAGTTGCTCATGGTATTTTATATATTAATAAATGGCGTTCAATAAATCAATAGAATGTTCACATTCATGCAGTTCCCGAGATGATGCTGTTATTTACTCTAGTACAAGCAACCAACCGCATTTTACAGTTATTTAAAAAAACGTTTTCATCATGTTTCCGTTATATTAGATAATGGAAGTTTTAACGTTGAAAAGGGTTTGTAGATGTCTCACGGTTCCCACGCCGGCCGTATGGCAAGATTGGCATGTTGAATGAAAATCAATGAATTTCGTTTTACATTTAGGGAAATTGAGTTTTATAAATTGTCCCGTCCAGGTTATATTTCGGAATACCCTACATTGAATATGTACATCCTCTTTTCAAAAAACCTGAGCGTTAGATTCACCTTTTTTTAACTTCCAGACCGGATTGTCGGTTTCGGGTATATAATCTGACAGACACAATATGTCATCCATGTATCGACTGTAAAAGTCAATTTCATCGTCCTTCGGGCATTTTTTCCCGATCTTAACTATAAAACTTCGGCGATAAATGGACTAGAAGATGAAAATATCGCCATAAGTTACAGTTTCCTGCATCGCTGACCACTGCAGAGCAACATGACCTTTTGGAGATTGATTCTTATGAATATGGCAAAGTGGACGATATTTATGAACTTCCCAAATTACCAAAAAAAATTTTCGAATAAAACGAACGTCCACAACAAAAATTCAAAATAGTTGTGCATACGATCAATTGAGTATTTTAGTAATAGATTCTGTCTCTGAAAAGCAACTTAATTGGACATCCGGCTAAAAATATATGTGGATGTTGCCTTTTGCAAGGTAACATTAAAATGAAAATGGAATATTCCGATGTGTTTTCTAATGTACCTGATGTATGTGATACACTTTTGGTAGATAAAGATAGAGCTCATTTATCTCTTCCTACTAGAATAGTTGTTACCATAGTTTATTACATACAGGCGCCGATCTAAGCTTGTGACTGACCAAAGGAGCGGTGGAATAAATAATCACATTTTCCGAAAATTGTTAGTCTTCTGTCTTTTCCGTTTATATATTACAAAGTACTTGTTCTGCCGTAGCTAGTAGCACAAGAAATGTCTTCAATATTAGGCTACTTCCGATTTCGCCAAAATTAATGCCTATTTCCTAAAGTATACTGAACCAACAGGAGGTTTTCCTTACTGTAAGGCTTTCTAAGGAATAAATCAATTCATTAGATCAAAATGACCTGACTGGAAGAGGATGTGCAACGAACTGTTCGTTACAGATAGAACCTCACAACTAACCTCTTAAAAATAAACTGACGAATAGTTATAAGCGTATTGCTCACGACTGATTCGGAGGGTGGTATGAACCTTAACTGTTTAGACACTTCGTAGGAGCTTAATCCACCTGACCTCGATCCTTTTAGTTCTGATTGTTTGCATAATTCTCAAATATGTATAAGCAAACGCACGCCTAGTTGGTTCGAATTACTAAATCGATCCCAAAGAAAACTTTCAGGTTGCTTACCAGCACACCAGCTTACTTCTCTAAGGGGCCTACGCTAATCTATGCTGAGAGCAGCTTATGCAGTAGCTATACAGCTAGCAAATCCAGTGCTGTGCAGTCAGAAGGCGGGAATACAGGCGCTTTCGTTTCCATGGCCGACGCTGACATCAGGTGGTGTTCGCTTGATACCACCTTCCCCGACAGCAGTTTTTCCTCCGCGTTATCTACTTGTGTAAATTGCTCACAGCCTACCATCTTTACCACTTCCTCAGTCCCAATGACCTCAAAATGCCGACCTCGGCTTGCGGGTGACGTGAGAAACAGGAGTACTAACCGCGAGGCATTTACAAACCCTGTCCCAAACCCTGATAAATATTTATTATATGCGTAATGGTAAAGGCCTGATGACGAATGACTGAACGCACACATTTTTTGTATCGATTTATTTTAAAACCGTTATTTCTAAATTCTTTATCATGGCAAATTTCTTTTTTGTGTGTGTTGGTATATAATAGGAACGTGGCTTTTAACAGACGGAAAGTTAGGCGGCACAGCTGAGTTGGTGGCCCAGGCAATACGAGGCTACACAGAAGCCTACGGGATGAAGGAACTGCAGGTCATCGGGCTCACACCCTGGGCTCTATTGACCAATGCTCAGCTTCTTAGTTCGGATGACTTTCTGGTACGTATTCTAGTCTCTTTTACTCGACGTGGCCATAGCCAGAGCGCGCAGTTTGCGACAGACGAAAAGGGACTGTTACTCAAACGCTGTTAACAATAACTAAACTATTTGAACAAACGCGAAACGAAGGTTCCTGTAGGTGTCTTAATCGAACTTACTTTGCCTTGAAGCCAATTTCTAATTTGATCTTCACTACTATCGACAATTAAACGGTGCTCCAATGGGATCACCAATATCCGGATTCCTTGCCGAAATAACCTCAAGTAACCCTAAGTTATGGGTGCGATGTGTAGATGACACGTTTGTTTTCGTTAAAAGGGACCGACTCGAAGCGCTCCGCAGTACCATCAATTCTCCTATTCTGGGCATTCAATTCACACTCGAAATGGAGGTTAACAAGAAACTCCCATTTCTGGATGTTGTTGTGCAGCGAAATATTGACGGAAAATCACAGACATCCCTTAACCTAAAAGAAACATATGCGGAAGTTATTCTTAAATATAAGCGCAACAACTCCATCTCGCATAAGATGAGTGCCGTCAGCAGTCTGCTACGCCGAGAGATGACACAATGCTCTGACGAAGAATTTCCTGAGGCCATGCAGTCCGACGACTCATGTATCAACCGGCACATACAATTATATTGCATTTATGAACACTTCAAAGAACGCTGGAAGAGAGGAAGGCGGCATGACACATACTGAGTGAGACTACACCTACCAATCAGGTCTCACCCCGTATAACTATTGATTTCCCGCACGTTTGAAATGTTAGTTGTTCAGGAATAGAAGCAATTATGCGTGCCCCAGGTTCTTGTTGTAAAGAGGCAGAAGCCGCGATCTCTGCAACAGTAATGGTATTCGTCTGAGCTTTCGACTCCACATGAGGTGGCTCTGACGATGGCTTCTCGTGTGGAGTCGAAAGCTCAGACAAATAAAATTAC